TCATCTCAGGCAGCAGCCCTGAATTTGTTCTGGATATAGAACTCAGACATCTGGGCCATCTGCTCCTATTGGAGGTTTTTTAGGAGGTCTTCCTTGATCAAACCTGATTTTTCATAACCTGGAATGAATCCACAGCCTCTCATTTCCTGAGAAACAAAAGCAAAACCTCTTCCCCATATCTCTTGACTTCAACTTTGAAATCAAGTATTTTCAAAATACCTATCTTGGATTAATTCAGCAGCATTTATAAACAAATATCTTTTTACAGCTGTTGCTCCTTCCTCAGAATTTAAACAATTCAAAAAGGACATAATAACATACAATATCCAGAATATCTGTGTATTTTTCATCTTTATGTGGCTTTATTTTAACCTCTATTTCTTTTCTTTTCTTTTAAATTTTGGCCTTTTGAGACAGGTTCTCTGTGTATCTTTGGATGTCCTGGAACTTCCTCTGTAGACCAGGCTACCCTTGAACTCACAGAGATCTGCCTCTGCCTACCAAGTGCTGGGATTAAAGGTGTGTGCCACTACACCTTGAACTCACAGAGATTCATCTACTTCTGCAGTACACATGATGTATATACCTGCACCCACACAAAAAACAGAAACCCACTTTGTGGGCCTGGAGTTCTTGAGCAGTGCATGCTGCCTGTCTTCAAGCCCAGGAATCTGCTAGCTCCTGACTCCAGAGTCCTGGGATTAAAGTATGTGCCACCACAACTATCTGAGATCTTTTTCATATGACCACTAAATGCTAATGTTGGCTGTGCTTTGAAAAAGTATATCACATGTGGGCTAAAAATTTCTGACCATACTACTTATGTTGCTACCTTGTAGTGTGGAAGAACGGGCTGTGTCCCACCGCCTGCCTAGCTTAACCCCCGAAATAACCACACAGAAATTGTATTAATTTAATTACTGCTTGCCCCATTATTTTTAGTGTCTTATTGGCTAACTCTCATATCTTGATTAATCCATTTCTATCAATCTGTATATCACCACGAGGTCATGGCTTACCGGGAAAGATTCTAACCAGCATCTGTCTCAGGCAGGAGAATCATGGCGTCTGCCAAACTTTCCTTCTTCACAGCATTCTGTTTTGTCTTCTCTGCCCACCTAAGGGCTGCCCTATCAAAAGGCCAAGGCAGTTTCTTTGTTCAACCAATGAAATCAATACATAAACAGAAGAACCTCCTACACCATTTCCCCTTTTTTGTTTAAAAAAGAAAGGATTTTACTTTATCATAGTAGAATTACAGTTACAATATATATATATATATATATATATATATATTACCTTTTATCATAACAGAGGAAAACTATAATTATAACTATCTATTTTTTAACTCCATCAAAGACTCCAGAAGGATATAATACTACCTAAGTAAACAAGAAGTAAACAGCTTTTAAAACTCTAAAAATGACAGAGACATCTCACTGCCTGTACAGTCACCCAAAGATTTTTTGTACCATTGGGGCATCTATCTTTAGCCTAAAGACCCATAGCATCCAGCAAACATTTCTATGAAGTTGGAAATTTTAAAGACACTTTAGTCACTTTTTTCTGTTTTGAAGAATCTCTCGCAGACTCTTTTATGAAACAGGAACCCCAAAGGATCATCTCACCTTTAGGCAAGTTCAGCAGTCCTCTCTCTGTGGGTTCTTTATGTCCAGTTTATGTAACAGTCCAGGTAAGAGCAGTTTTTTGTGCAAGTGGCTAACCAACTCCATAAGGAGCCTCTTTGATGTTCATCTTTCTCTTGAAGTAGCTTGGGGCTTCCAGGAGCAGACATGTCTCATTATCATGAAAAGTCCTAAGTTATTAAAACATCTTAAATGTCATGTTTTGTAGTGTTTGAAAGATATGAAGAATGCCTATCTGAAATATATCTATGTACATCTAGAAAATCTAACTAACATGACTACAAACTTGACTTTTGTAGATGATTATCCATTAACAACCTATATTTTTAATTATACATTACATTTTTAAATGAACTACACAATCACAATACCTTAATCAAGATCAGAAATACATATACATATAATAAAATTGACCTTAAATTTGTATCCATAAATCAAGAATTATACTAATGTAAATTATTTATTTTTGTATCATATCCCCCTTTAAATGTAAAAGAACATTTATAAACAAAATACAGAAGGACCTCCTACACTACTACCTGGTCTTTTGTTGGCCAAGGTGGCATTGAATTCCCCTGAGGATGGCCTTGTCTTGATGTTCTTACTCTCACACAAGCCACGCTCCAGCTTATGATTGAACACATATAATGTGGAAATATTGGTTCTTAGTTCATATTGCATAGGTTTTCATCCAGAGTTGAATAATAAACTTTATTTTCTTTTAGGTCTGTGATTTATATTTTTTTCTTTTTTGCCCATGTCTGCATAAATTAGTTCTAAATCCTTATCATTACTCAGATTTCCTTTTTAAAAGCTTATTTGCTTTTTCAATTTTGGCTTTTTTGCGTACCTTATATTCTCCAGTGTTCTAGATAATTTTCATGTTGGGAGTGAAATGCAGGCAGGGCTCATGCTAGCAGGTGCTCTCTTACTACTTGATGATGTTTGAAAATATTTTTTTGGTATGATTTCAGTAAATAGATCAAGCACTTTGCTTAGTAAATCTTTTATATTAGTTTTTACTTCATCTGTGGGGTTTCTCAATGTAGGACAGTTGTGCTTCTTTTAGTTTCTAAAATGACTTCTTTTAGTTTCTAAGGTTTTCTTTTTTTTTATGTATCCTATATTTGAATAAAGATTCATGGTTTTCTTGTGGATAGTATTGAGACTGTGGGTAAGGAACTGTCTACTTTTGTCACAAAACCTAAAAATCATTTTAGCTAAATTACATTTACCCTCTTTTAAAAATTTTAAAGAATTTATTTATTTATCAAAGATTTATTTAATTATTATGTATGCAGTGTTCTCCCTACATGCCAGAAGAAGGCACCAGATCTCATTACAGATGGTTGTGAGCCATCATGATTGAAGTCAATACATGAAAGAGCACCTAGTGCCCTTAACTCCGAGTCATCTGTCTAGCACCTGAAAATCTTTATTTAATTAATTAATTGGTATATTTGAGGTAGTTTTGTAACATGAGGGCTGGCTTGTTGGGGTATCTGTCCCGCCCAGTACCCTACAGCCGGCAAGCCCCAAGAGGAATCACACACAGGACTCCATAAGATTATAAACTGATTGGACCATTAGCTAAGGCTTCTTGTTTACTCTTATAGCTTATATTAACCTGTTATTCTGATCTATGCTAGCCATATGGCTTGGTACCTTTTTCAGCTGTCAGCTCACATGTTGCTTCTTCGGTGTTCTGGGTAGGAATGGCAGAGCAAGCTTCCTCCTTCCTAGCCTTCTCCTGTTCTCCTTGCCCTGCCTCTACTTCCTGTCTAGTTGACCCGCCTATACTTCCTACCTGGCCAATCAGTGTTTTATTAAAATACGTGATTGACAGAATACAGATAATTCTCCCACACCATAGTTTTGCTGGGTATCTTTCCTTGAGTTCACCTATCTAGACCAAGCTGGTCTTACACTTGGGATAATCCTGTCTTACAAGAGCTGATATTACAGATATGTACTCAGTAAAATACCATTTATCGCCAGTTATTTTCCCTCATAATATATATCTAAGTTAATGATTCTGTGTTGTTGCAAGTGTGAAATCTATTACCAAATGTAACTTTTGCTGACAAGTAGATAATCATTGGGATGGGTGTTTCCAATTTTTCATTGGGAAGTTCAGTTCAGATTACTTAAATGCAGAATACATTTTTAGACCTATGTGTGTGTCAATGTTAAGTGAAGCTATTATATCTTTTCTATAACAGTAACAATGGACCAGGAAGATCCAAACAATTACAAATCAAAGAATCACATTTTCCTGTAGTCCCAGACTATGTTCTTTTATGCCAATGAAAACAGGTTGTTCCTCTTGTAGGGAAACTCAGTCTTGGTTTGCCACAGCACTAGACCTGCTTATCCAGCTTGGATTTAGGATCAGTTTGATGTTTGCTGTGAATGTAGGGGTCCTGTGCTAAGAATGAGATGAGCAAAAGACTGAGTATAGCTGGAATAGAAGAGTGTTCTTGTCTTTAATTCAACAGATATGTATGTAGTCCTGGTGCTTATTTTTATACTACTGTTTCTTTATATTTATAGCCTGCCCCACTTTTTTCTTGGAAAATTTCCTACTAGAAAACAGTATTTTTTTATATGTCTTTCTATGTTTGCATGTTGCCTATATGTATGTCTGTATACCACTTATATTTTTGGTACCTATGGAGGCGAGAAGTGGATGTCATATTCCCTGCAACTGGAAATAAAGGCGGTTGTGAGCTTATGTGGATGCTGGGAATTAAATCTGGGTCCCCTAGAAATGTAACCAGTGCTCTCAATTTTCTCCAGTCTCTCAGTTTTGTTTGATCCTGTCTTTGTTTGACATTATTGCTAGTTTTTCTTTATTATAGTTTTTTGAGACAGGATCTTAGGTGGCCCAGACTGACCTTGATGGCATTGTCAGTCCTCAAGCTTCTGATCTTTCTTCTGTGTCTCAAAAAGTGCTTGGCTGACAAGTGTGTACTACTACCACAGCTGTTACACGTGTTGTTGGTAAGGAGAATGCAGGGCAAACACTCCAACAACTATGTGAGCTAAATCCAAAGCCCCTTTGTGGGGCTTCAATAGCTATATTTGAGTTTCCTCTGTGGTTTATATACTATACTATAGGCTTCTGGCAATCAGAGATTGTTCCTGTAGTTTGTCCATACCTAAAGATACTGACACATTGTGCTGGTAATTTTTATCCTTAAGAATCACTACTTTAATTTAAACCAGTGGTTTATTGTGTTGGGATTTTATTCTGAAGAGACTAATGTTAACTCAGAGTCCCTTTGAATCATAAAACAATGAGAATGCCAGAACTACATGAGCAAACTATAACTTTTGCACATTTTTTTTCAGTAAATTGACTTTTGAAAGTAAACCCTGAGAGCATAAAGACTGTCCTCATTCAACAATGACTCAGTGTTTAAAAGTCTTGAAGACTTATTTGACTGATTTAACTTTCAAAGCCACTTGTCAGGTAAATCGTCTTTTTACAAATCTGATTTTCACTTGAAGTACGGTAAACCAAGTTGCCTTCTACTGCGCAATATTTCATTGAGTTCATTGATTTCTGTATTTAGATCTATCAGTAGTGAGAAAAAAATTAGGTTATGTCTGAGTGAATGTTAGAGCTTCTGAAATGGCTTCTTTTGAAGGACTAATAAATAATTGAAGAACTGGTGTTAAAATTCTTACTGTTTGTGTTTGTGGTTTTCCATTCCTGCTTGAATTTTAATTATGTAACAATACTTCAGAAAAATTAGCACTCTGTCACCTTTCCACTACTTTCCTGTGATGACTAAAAAAATAAAGCTGTTTTCTTGGTTTAAGAAGAATTCATTTACTTTATTGGTGCTTGGGTGTTATATCATGTTGCAGTTGCTTTGCTTCTACTGAGGCTCGTAATTGACCAAAATCATGTTAAGAAATTCAGGGTTATTCACTCACAAATGCTTGTGTTTTGGTTTATTAAGACTATATTAGCTGCCATTTATTATTTGAGGATTTTATGCCTGAATTTATTGTACCTTAATGAAATTCAACCCTTATTTTTTTCCCTTCTGTGCCCTTGCACAGTTAATGAAGTGAAGAAGAGGAAACAAAAAGAGGCAGGGACACAGAGGGGAACAAAAACAGAGATCATGGAGGTACTCTACTTACTGGCTTGAACTTTAGCTTCTTCTATTTTCTTTTTCTGTTTTTCTCTTTTTAAATCAAAATAGATCTCCACATAATATGTTTTGATTATAATTTGATCATCACCTCCTATCAATATTCACATCTCTTCTTTTTCTCTCTCATTAGAAAATAAACAGACACAGAAAAACAGTGTCTGTTTTCTTTTTTCTTTTTTTAAAATTATCTTTTAATTTTACATATAAACGATAGTTCCTCTTCTCACTTCCTTCAGCTCCCCTGACCCATTCCCTCCATCCCACATCCACTTTTCAGAAGGGGTAAGGCCTTCCATTGTGAGTCTACAAAGTCTGGGTTATCTATTCGAGGCAGGACCAAGCTCCTCCCTGTATCATGGCTGAACAAGGCATCCCTACATTGGGAATGGGCTCCAAAAAGCCAGTTCATACACAGAGGATAAATCTTGGTCCCACTGCCAGTGGCCCCACAGACTGTTGAAGCCACAGAACTTTCATTCACATTCAGAGTTCCTAGTTTGGTCATATGCAGCTTCTCCAACTATCTGTCCAGAGTCACTAAACTTCCACTAACTTGGGTCAACTATCTCTGTGGGTTTCCCCAACATGATCTTGGCCCATTTACTCATATGATCCCTTCTGTCTCTCTTTGACTGGATACTACCCAGTGCTTTGTTGTAGACTCTGTATCTGCTTTCATCATTACTGGATGAAGGTTCTATGATGATAATTAGGCCAGTTCAGGCATTCTTTTCACTATCACTCGAAGTCTTAGCTGGGGTCATCCTGGTGGATATGAGTTTCCCTAGCATGAGATTTCTCCCCAACCCTACAAAGGCTCCCTCTATCAACGTATCTCATTCCTTGCTCTTACTTTCTCCCTTCATTAACTCAGCCATT